GTGGGCCTGCTGACCAAAGCATCCTGGGTTTAATTCAGGTCAAGGGCATGTACCTCGGTTGCAGGCTCCTCCCCAGCCCAGGCTCTGGTCAGGGCACATGCAGGAGGCAACCAATTGATGTGTTTCTCTCACATCAATGCTGCTCTCTGTCTTTCCCTCTCTCTTCCACTCTCTCTCAAATCAATGGAAAAATATCCTCGAGTGAGGATTTAAAAAAAAAAAAAAAAAAAGCAAACTCCAGTCAAGACTGTGCAATTGCTAATCCATTTCTGACATGTGCCAATCTTCAGCAGCTCTGGCTCCAAGCAGGGGTGGGGAACGTCCAGCCCATGGGCTGTATAAAGCCCTCGAAATCATTTGGTCCGGCCCTGCTAAGTAAGGCATTAGGGGTGAGTTAATTATATGTTTGACCAAATATAGCAGGCTAGTTTTTAAGTTGATCATTTGTATGGCCCACAAATGATGTTATAAAAATCCAAATGCCCCTTTGCAGAAAAATGGTTCCCCACTCCTGCTCTAAAGAAACACATATTCTAATTCAACAGTTTATACCTCAATACTGAATAAGCACTTTGTAATGTTCTGAGCATCACTGTTTTATTAGGAATGTGAAGTCCTAGGGAAAGGGCATTGGTGATGATCTGGTAAAGTCATCTCAAGTAGGAAGAACAAACTAACACTCAGAGAAAGGATTTTCTAAAGATAACCAAGGAAGTTGGTTGAGATGGGGTGAAACTCATGCTTCCTTACTTGCAGCTGGGAACATTTTTTATTTTTATTTTTTTAAAATATATTTTATTGATTTTTTTACAGAGAGGAAGGGAGAAGGATAGAATTAGAAACATCCATGAGAGAGAGAAAAAAACATCGACTAGCTGCCTCCTGCACATCCTCTACTAGAGATGTGCCCGCAACCAAGGTACATGCCCTTGACTGGAATCGAATCTGGGACCCTTCAGTTCCCTGACGCTCTATCCACTGAGCCAAACCGGTTAGGGCATGGGAACATTTTTAAAGACTACATCAGGTTCCTTCCAACTCTTAAAAGATTTCAACAGTCGCAACTGTGATTAATTTTCTGTGATTAATCGTAGGGCTTCCCTATTTTTCCATTAAGGCACATCCCCAATTTCAAAACGGAAGTCAATTAGAACAGAGCTCAAAGCAATGCTTTGCAAACTTCATTTACATACCATCCTAATTCTTTTTAAAAAAATATATTTTTAAATTTAATTCAGAGAGGAAGGGATAGAGAGATAGAAACATCAATGATGAGAGAGAATCATTAGTCGGCTGCCTCCTGCACACCCCCTACCAGGGATTGAGCCCACAACCCGTGCTTGTGCCCCTGACTGGAATCGAACCCAGGACCCTCCAGTCCACAGGCCGATGCTCTATCCACTGGGCCCAACCAGCTAGGGCTACCGTCCTAACGCTTTTGCCTTACTGGCAAAACATTATTATTCACTTAAGTTTTGCTTTTTTTTAAAAAAAGTTTAAATATCTACAAAAAAAGGGAAATTTTATAGCCCCACAGGAACTAACGGCTGCAATCAATGGCCAGAACTAGGTTTTTCCCAGTAACCTACGGCTGGTATATCAAGTTTAATTTGTTGCCTGCCAGAGCTCTGAGCCTGATGCTCCTCCTTTTATTTTAAAAAGGGAGATTAGCAAGTGCTCAGGGGGTGCTGACAGCAAACCCTCCAACTTGCAGCTGTAATTAGAAGGGCTGACAGCACAAGGGAGTAGCAGGCTAGCCTGTTATTACCCCGTCAACTGTCACCAGCAATCCCACAATGGCAGGTGCCCCCTGGGAGACACCGTGTTAGAGAAAGTCTTTTCCTCTCAGCGTCTTACAGACGCCTGGACGCAGCTTGGGAGCGAAGGCCTAGCCGTGGTCTGAACAGCGGTCAGAGCCCTAGGACTTCCCACCTTGGCAACCTCACCTAATACCGATGGAGTCAGAAACAGAGGGACAGGAACAACCATGTCCTACGCTCCTTCTCTGCACCAGGCACACGATTGCTACACACGCTTGATTTACTCTTGCCAGCGACTCTACGAGGCTGACGGTGTCATTTCTTTAAACGACGACGAGGACACTGCGGTTGAGGCTGGTGTCCGCTGACCTGTGCAAAGGCTCTCGGAAGCCCGGGGCTCGCTGGCCATGCGTCCACATCGGCCTGACTTCCCACGCGCTGTCCCCAAAGGCGGAGCGATAAAAAGGGAAGATGAGGCCACTGCCTTCCTTCGCACCGGATTCTAGTGAATGTGTTCGAGTTCGGGTGCTCTCCTGCATCCGGTGAGCGACTCCGGGGACCACCGGCGCCCTCAAGACTGAGGGTGCGGGGGGGGGCGCCAGGTGGTTCGGGGTAGAACCTGCCTTTGAGTGGAGCCCAGCCGACCCGGGCCCGACCCGGGCCCGACCGCTGCACGGCAGGCCCAAGCTAAGGAACCGCAGGGGGGTTCCACGAAGAAGATAATGAACCGCAGCGCCTGCTCCTCCAGGCACCAGGCTAAACGCTGGCCCATCGCCACCTCCCGGGACCCCCACGGCAAGCCCTGGGGTAGGGGGTCCACCCCTCCAGGGAAGCGGCGGGGAGAACCCCAAGAGTCCGGCCCGGGACGCTACCCCCAGCCGCGGTGCCGGGACCCCTCGGTGCCCGGCCGG